TCTACAAGAAGCCTTTCCTGGTGCCCTCAATTGTTGGTGCCTTCCTCCCCTAATTACCTTGTACCTGTTTTGTATTGAAGGCAGCAACTGTTTCATTTTTTGTATTTGTATCTCAAGCACCTAGCACAAGGCCTGGCATGAAGTAAGTACTTAATAAGCTTGTGTTGATTGACTGATGAATGTAACAGTATTATTGTGTAGCTAGAAATGATGGAGGAATTTAGAGCAACATGAAAAAAATGTCTAAGAACTAATAAGAAGGAAAATAAACAGCAACAGAACAATATTCACAGCAATTACCAAAAGAAAGTGTGAAGGTAAAATTGAGTCACTGAAAATCAGTAGTGGTTTCAGAGACCAGATAATGAAATCCCTTTCCTCTTGGCAGTCAACAGACTGCTCAAGTTGAATGGGGCATTCGCTGCTGGACTTGGTCAGATGCTGGTTTTTTTTTTTCTGTGTTACAAGAGCACTTGGGGGTATAGGTATATATGTATATTACTGTGATGTAAAAACAAAAACCATCAATAAAACATTTGACCCTCAAAAGAGTGAGGGGTAACAGATGGACATCCCAAATGCTATATTGGTATCCATGGAATGTTCAAAGAGCCAGAGAAAGATCTCTGGTTGTTGGGTAGCTCCTCTTATGTTTTGTTCACGGAAAGCCATAAACAAGAAGGCTGGAAGACACTGATGGGGAGATTCCCCATGCTGGTGAGATCATTAAATTCATGGACTATTTGGAGGAAATTCAGTTGATTATTCCCACCCTACTCTCTTAAGAGGATGGACTGGAAGCTATTTCCAAATCTTAAACCCACATAAAATTAGCCTATAGGGCCACCTTTGGTGCATTTGGTCTTTGGCCAAAAACTCAAGCTTTTCTGTCTTGAAGTTGCTCGCCACCTTCACCCCTATGCCCACTTCCCACCTACCCCCCAGTGATCCTTATCCCTATTTAAACCTTGCACTCAGAAAAGGAAATGGTGAACTTGTTTGAACTAAGGTTCAAATGACTTAATAAAATATGCTTCAGGGTACTTGTGGTCTAAAGGGAAACAAAGTTATATACCAAAAGAATTAATGGCTAATGGTGGAATTTAAGACCTCAGTGATCTAGAGTTGTATACTATGGCATATGATAACCTGATATCATGTGATATAGATAGCAACTTACATTATTCTGCTTTTCATCACCTATTCCTAAGGTTTACTCTAATAGAATCCTAGGAGACATCAATTAGAATAATTTGTGTTTCTCCAATACTTTAAGGTTTACAATATGTTTTCCTCACGACAACCTCAGAAGGCTGGCAATGTCATTATTTCCTGTCTATAAGATGGAAAAGACTGAGACTCAGAAAAAGTGAAATAAACTGTATACTTTGCAAGTGTCAGAATCTTCTGACTCCAAAAGCAACACATCTGTTGACAAACACCTTGTGATGTCCTTTAGTAGTGAGTGCCCTGTCACTATAGGTATTTAAATATAGGCAGGATGGTTACTTTATTCAGCATGAGGGAAGAAAGACTCATCTATCAGGTTGCAATTGCCCTGGGTGATCTCTCAGGTCCCTGAGAGGATTCCACGAATTTAAAGTGCTTCAAATTTTTTTTTTCTTAAATAGATCAGAGTTTATTTATACAATTTAATATTGCCTCCTTACAGTAACCATATTGGGAAGTTATGCACTGATTCCCAAATCCCTGCTACTGCTCAGAAAATACTTGGAAATTCTCTTCTGGAATTGCATGCAGTACATTCTGTTAGATTGTAAGCTCTCTTGAGGACAGAGGCTGTCTTTGAATTCCTAGTGCTGAGCAGAGAGCCTGGCCCGTAGTAAAATAGCCCTATAGCCCTTTGAGGGTTCCAAAATGCTATATATTCATCATCTCCTTTATTCCTCACAACCCAGTTGAGTGGGTGCTATTATGTATTCCTTTTCCAATTTTATGGTTGAGAATATGAATTCAGAGAGCATATAAATGACTTGCCTAGGATCCCATGCCTAGTAAGGTCCAGAGACAGGATCTTTCAGGTCTCTGATGACTCTAAGTCCAATGTTCTTTCCATTTTACTTCACTGTGTTTATTTTTAATTTTTTTATGAACAAAAATCTATTTTTTCTCCCTCCTACCTCCTTCTCCATTGAAACAAATATACAGTCAAGCACAACAGATTCCCACATTCACAATGCTCCCCAAAGATATGTGGGTAGCATTCTGGATCCTGAGTCATCTGGAATGATGGTTGGTTGTTGCATTGATCAAGTCCTTAAGGCTTTCCATGTTGTTTTGAGTTCACAAGGTTGTTATTGTATACATTTGCTCGCTTCACTCTGCATCAGTTCAGACAATCCTTCTCAGGTGTTTACGAAACCATCTCTTTCCTCATTTCTTACTGCAAATCATATTCCATTACATTCATATAATAAAATTTGTTCAGCCATTCACCAATAGATTGATACACCCTTAGTTTCCAAGGTTCTAGTATTTCAAAAGGAGCTGCTACAAATTTTTTGTACGTATGGATCTTTTCCCTCTCTTTAATAGGTCTAGCAGTGGTATAGTTGGGCCAAAATGCATGCATAGTTGGTGACTTTGTGGGCATATTTCCAAATTGTTTGACCAATGTACAGCTCTACCAACAGTTAATCAATGTACCCACTTATAATTTTTCTCATTTGTTAATTTCACTTATTGAATGGGTGTGTATCTCATTGTACTTAGAAACAAACCAGATAAAACATTCAATGACCCTAGGGAATTTTATTTGAAGTTAATTTTTCTTAACACTATAAAATAATGCAACTAAGTTTCTAAGACTAAGTTTCTAAGTGTTTGAAGGAACCTCAAAAATCATGAAGTCCAATGGTCTTGAATTTGTCTTTACGTTTATAGCAACCTTTGACTTCTCTTCAGAATGACTTGTCATGTATCTTAGGGACTTGCAAGTAGATCTTGATCCACATTTTCCAGATAAGGAAACTGAGACTCAGGAAAATTGACTTCAGGTCATGCAACAAGTTAATGAGAAAGCTAGGGCTATAAACCAGAGCCAAGTGTTCTTTTTATTACGCCATTTATTTTACCATTTTGACTCCAGGAACATTAAGCCCTCCTCAGGATAAGCTCACCACTTGAAATCTCGTCTACCAATGTCCCGGACTCCAAGTTTATCACTCTACATACACATGAGTAATGACATTAGTTATGGTCCTTCTTTGAAAGAAAGCAGAATTGGATCCCAAAACTGATCTCTACCACCTATGGGACTTTGAGCAAGATGTCTCCTCTGCTCCTCAGTTCCATCTTTAAAATGTGGATAATCAATAAAGACTGTTACATGCTCTTAAAGATTTGCCTAGAGCAAATTAAATGAGAGGTTAAATGACTTGTCCAGAATCAGAAAGCCAGTTTGTGTTAGGGGTAGGATTTGAACCCAGGTCTCCCTGACATGTATGCCTACTTCCTATCCACTACACTTTGAATCACAGCTCGATTCATGGTTTTGTTGATTGTTGAAATTTCATTAAATACAGGTGAAAATATTAATAGTGTAGATTAAATTTAAAAGTGTGATGTGAATTTTTTTGGATAGCCAACAATTAAATATTGATTAGCTTGCTCTCTCTCCCCCCCTCTCTCCCTTTCTCCCTTTCTCTCTCTGTCTCTGTCTCTGTCTCTCTCTCTCTCTCTCTCTCTCTCTCACACACACACACACACACACACATGCCTTATAATACATGCACCAACTTCACAGACATGTTGTGAAGAAAAACACTTCAAAAATTTGAAATTAACTAGAAATAGTTTAATAAACTTTATAATAAACTAGAAATTAATTCTGGCCAATTTGTTAAACTATCTTCTTCTTCTAGAGTTTATGGCCATGCATCGAATGGATTCAAAGAAGAAATCATGCTCAGTACCATAAATTCTTTCCTTTCTCTATAGTTTATGTACCAAGTTAAGTGACAGGGGTGGGGGGAGGGAGGGTAAGAGCATCACAAAATGAGTGAATGAACAAAGAGATGGACAAAGAAATGAATAAATGAATGAATGCCTGAGCAAGTGAATGAATCAATGCATGAGTAAATAAATACCACAATCTGTGGTTCCCCCCTCTACCCCTCATACCTTGTGCCCATCTCTACTGTCAGGGGGAAGACTGGACAGACAGCAGATCAACACACAAAAACACAAGCAGTATCACATCAGTGTTTTTAATGGTTGGCAGTGAAATGTCAAAGAACAAACAAACAAACCCACAGACTTCTGTGGTTCCATTTCCAGTGCCTAGTTTCAGTATTCGAGGTAAGTTAACACTGGTAAGGGATCTCCCACCTGCTATAATTATTGCTTTTGTCTTGCCAACAGCTGCCCATGGCCTTGGAGCACAGGGCCTTGTCACAGTAGAGGGTTCAAGAAGGGGCCAGAGCTACTGGAGGGGAAGAGCAAAGTGATCTTTTCCAGGGGAAAGAGTACAGAGGGGAAAGTGTACCCCTAGGAAGAAGCAGGCAGGTCAAACCCCAAAGGTCGTTCCTGGCAGTTACTAATATCTACCTCCCTTCTCCATTAACCAGGAACTAGGAACTTATACTCCTATTTCTTGCCTCTCCTGGTGGCTCTAGCCCAGGTAGATTTTAAAATCTCCCCCAGCCTTGGATTTTTAAAAAGTCTGGCCAGTTTTAAAGCTGTCAAAGGATTATGGAATAGCAGAGTGGTAGGGGTAGGGGGTTTCTTAGCATTTAAATCAGGTGATTGCTTTGGTAAGAAAGACTCCCAAAGTAACTTAGAAATGGACTGGAGGGAACTAATAATGCAGCCATTATTGGCTAATAATAATGGCCATTCCCTCTTCTACTCCGGCCCCAACCCCTAAATGGCTCTGAGACGTCAGTCCATGACCAAGGGGGCTGCACACCTGGTTTGGTCTTAGCTGATATGGAAGCACTTTGGACATCATTGCTGTTACTGTTGACAGCATGACCCCTTCAGGACTTGAAAGAAGCCTGAACCACTCTTCCCTTCAGTGGCTGAGGAGGCCGGAAATTGTTCACCATTCGGATCTTCTCATCATCCTCTGCAGTAAAAAGGAGGCTCCGGAATTTTTCCATCTGTGGGAAGGCAAATCGATACCACTGGCTTAGCCTTACAAAGTAGGTGATGAGTTCTGGCACTGGTGTAAATGTGAAAGATGAGACAGAACTGGGCTTGTGGTATTCTCTGACCCCTGCATTCTTTTCTGTCACACCCATGCAAAGGCAATGATTTCCCCATTTCATGTTTATTTTGTTGGCTTTTGGCTCCTGGCTCCCTAGTTTTTGAGATCCCAGCAAAGTTTGCTCAGCAAAACTTCCATTCTGTTTTCCTTTCTCAACTTTTCCAGTAGGGAACTCTGAACTCTAATTTGTCCTCCAGGCTGCTGCCCATCCTCCCACTTCATTATCTTTCCATATCTCCTCAAACTCTTCTAATCCCAAACCACTGATAAAAGGCTTAGCATGTTCCATTCTACTCTCCCGGTTGTGGAGAAAAAGTAGCAAATGGCACAGAGAAACCCCACCTCCCCACTACCACCATTTTATAGTCTTTCTCTCATGATTTGCAAATTCATTGTTTCCAATTGGGTGGGCTCTCAGTGAAATGCAATGGTTCTCAATGAGTATTTCTCTAACCACTTAGGGGTTCATGATCATAGTCTAAGCAGTAAATAATTGCCCAATTATGTTACAAATTTATTTTTCCTCTGTGACAACAAGCATGCGCATGTTTTGAGCATTATATGTTGGTTTCTACAGAGATTTGAGACCATCAACTTCTTTGGGGCAAAAGTTGTTATTGTAGTTATTGTGAGAATTTAATGAATAAAATCTAAAAAATATTATGAGTAGGATGAGTAGAACCTGGGGGTTCAAAATAATCCTTTGTTTTATGTTTTCAAACAAAAAACATTTGGGAAACACTGGTGCAGTGGAAAGAACTGTTTTCAGACGTCTCTGTCTATGGTAGGCAGCTAGATGATGCCATAGTTCACAGAGTGCTGGGCTTGGAGTCAGGAAGACTCATCTTCCTGAGTTCCAATCTGGCCTCAGAAACTGTCTGGCTCTTTGACCCTGGGCAAGTCATTTAACCCTGTTTGCTTCAGTTTTCTCATTTGTAAAAATGAGCTAGAGAAGGAAATGGCAAACCACTCCAGCATCTTTGCCAAGAAAACCCCAAATGGGGACATTAAGAGTCAGACACAACTGAATTGTCTGTAGTCCAAAGTCCATTAGATTATAAACTCCTTGAGATCGTTTGCCTCTTTTTGTATCTCCAGTGGTTAACACAGTGCCTGACACACAGTAGGTGCTTAATAAATGTTTGTTGATTGACTGTTGAGTCCTAGTCCTTTCTAGTTCTTAGCCTACTACTGACTAGCTCTGTGACCTTGGCCTTGACCTTTCTGGGCACAGATTTTCTCATCTGAAAAATAGGAATAGTATCCCTTCACTTCAACAAACATCTGAGCACCTACATCTAAGACATGGTGCTAGATCTGGGGGATAAAGGACAGTCCTTGTCCTCAAGGTTCTTCTGTTCTCCTTGGCTTTCACTACTCACTTATGCTCCCTCCTAACATTGTAAGAAGATGAAATGAAGTAACAGATGTCAATTTTTTTGTAACTTTCATTTGCTAAAAAAAATGGCGGCTTTTATTGTCTTTAGCTCCCATCCACCTAACCCCATTCTATTTCCATTCTATCTCCTGTAGTCTGATTCGCTGACCATTAACTACTCCCTACTAAATTGTTGGTCAATAATAATTCAAAATGTGACCCTGGCCTGGGTATTTTAAGATGCATTTTAACATGGGGCTCTCTAGTTGAAGCAAAAACCTAAGGTCCATGCAGACTTTCCTTAAAGTTTCTTCTTAAAAGACAATGAAGGGGCAGCTAGGTGGCGCAGTGGATAGAGCACTGGCCCTGAAGTTAAGAGGACCTGAGTTTAAATCCGGCCTCAGACCAAACACCTGTACGTACTAGCTGCATGACCTTGGGCAAGTCACTTTACCCCGATTGCCTCACAAAAAAAAAAAAAAAAGACAACGAGACTGTCCAACAGATTTGATTAGCTCAGGGGACCAAGGGTTGGCCTTAACATGGCTTCCTGGTGATAGGAGGACAAAAACAGCCCAGGATGGAGGTCAAAAGAAATTAAGTTTCTACCTTCATGACACCTCTCTTATGCGACAATTTCTCTCCCTTCACTACCATCTTAGTTCAGACCCTCATCAATAATCTTGTCTTTCCGGCTTTATGAGACATCATTCCCCCTCCTGCACTTTAAGATCTAGTCAGACTAGCCTCTGTTCCTCACCTACGCCATCTCCCACCTCTGTGTCTTTGCATTAGTCATTTCTCATGCCTCGAATATACTTCCTGCCTTATCTTCACCTCACAGAGGCCCTTTCTTCCCTTAAGATACACCATCATCTTTTGCACGGAGGCTTCCCAATTCCCCTGAATGTCTGTGACATCTCTTTCAAACGTCCTTGTTATAACGACTCTCTGTATGTGCATATATATGCATAATAATTTAACAATCTACTTTCAAGGAGCTTACATTCTAATGGGAGAGATAATAAGTACATACAAAAACATATAGCATAAATATAAAGTTAATAAATACATATATACTCTTATAGGGATACAATTACATATAAAAATATATAGCATAAATTTAAAAGTAATAAATACATATACCCATATATAACAAATAAATAATAACATATATTTATTACTTTTTATTATGTTATATTATTGCCTTTATATTTATGTGTATATATATGTGTATATATGTATGTGTGTGCACACACACACACATGCACATATAAGTGTGTGCATATAAAATATTTATATGTACTTGTCTCCCCCATGAGAAAGTAAGCTCTTTGACTAGGGACTGTCTCATTCCTTGTACTGGTATCCCCAGCACATGGCACAGTGCTGGGCAAGTAGCAGGAGCTTAAATACTTATTGATTTATTAGGTGACTTGGCTAAGGTCACATACAGGTAGTGAATAGTAACCTGGCATCCAAGCCCTGGTCCTCTGACTCCTCCAAATGCAGGGCACTTGCCATTGTACCAGGCTATCTCATAATGCAGAATGGTAGACCATGAAATTTGTCATCTGGGGGTAGGGGGGAGTCCTCAGCTGACTCAAATCATATCATGGACACTCATCTTCCCATAAGGTCGATGCTGGTGTGATGTCCTGTTCCCTGCCCTATCCCTTTCCCCTAATCCGTTATGACTCACCTGTTTCTCTGAAATTGTGATGGGCTCCTTAAGCACTATCCAAGTCACACTCTCACTCAGGGGTGGTGTGGTCAGAGACCCCGGGTAGGTCCAGTACTGGAGGTTCACAGGTAGGAGGCATTTGGGATTGAAGCTGTTGAACTGGGCTTTGGTTCCCTGGGAAGGGGAGTCAGCAGAGACTCTGGTTTAGGATCCTACAGGAGTAGTTTAGAGCTTGGGGAAGGTGAAAACAGAAATCCTAGCCTAAGGTTAGACCAGATAGATTTGTGGTTTCCTTGCCCCCTTAAATCATACTACAGAGTTTACTTCTATGGTAGCATAAAAAGAATGTTTGTCTAGTTGTCTGGAGACCTAACTTAGGTGGTCCAGTGGATTAAGCACAGGAATTGGAGACAGGAAGACCTGAGTTCAAATCCTGCCTCAGGTACCTACTAGTTATGTGACCCAGGGTGAGTCTCTTAATTTCTCTAAGGCCCTTGGGAGGTAGGTGCTATTATTACCCCCAGTTTATAGTTGAAGAAACTGAAGCAGGCATAGGCTGTGACTTTCCCAAGGTTATATAGCTAATAAGTATCTGAGGCTGGATTTGAACTCAGGTTTTCCTGACTCCAGGTCTGATCTATCTACTGCAGCCCCTAGCTTGTGGGATCAGAATCAATCTAATCCATCTTGCATGAGTCCTTCAAATCCCTTATAGTTGAAAATAGCTATCTTTCTCCCTCCTTGCCCCCCACTCCAAAGGCTATATGCCCAAACACATTTACAATTATAGCAAGTGGCACTTTAACTGGCAATTGAAACAGATTTGGAGAAAGGACAAAGAATGCAGAAGAAAGCCCCAAAGTCAGCAGAATACTCACTTTGAATCTGACCATGTACAGTGCATCTGTCAGTCTGTTCATGCTGGCATGTTCATCTCCAGTCTGGAATTTACAATGGATAAAGTGGTATTGAGAATGTCTTCTGGGCATGTTCATTTCTGGCCCAGGACTCAGCCCCCTGGACACTTCTCACAGTCACAGAGGTGTTGACAAAACACGTCCACATCCTCTTCTATCCTAACCCCTGAGTGTGCCTGGGGGTCTATTGGTACAAGGACAAAGTTCAGTCAACCCTGGTGAGGAGGAGGAGGTGACATTGCATGGCTTATAGTAGAAAACTGACCCCTTGCTTTCTCCAGTATGAATCCTAAACTATGAGAAGGGGAAGGAAATTTAGAGAACGTCTTTTCCGACCTCTACCCGATACAGGGATCTCCAATACAGCATCTGGGTAGATGATCATCCATGATGCCGGGTGCAGTGGAAAGAACATTCTGATTCTGGAATCAAGAGCTGGATTCAAATCCTAGCTCTCTTATTTACCTTCTAAGTGACCTGGGCTATATGCCAGGTCATAGCCCAGGGCTATACGGGCTATAAGTCACTTCCCCACTTTGGGACCCAACTTCCTTATCAATAAAATGAAAGGTTTGGACTATGGTTCCTCCCACATAGATCAAAGTCCTACAATCCTATTGCAACCTTAGAGATGAGGAAACTGAGAGGGGCTGTGACTTGCCCATGATCAGACAGTTAATGAAGAATCAGAAGTTAGGTTCCCTGATTGCCAGGCTATTATCCCTCCCACTGTACTACAAAGGGATTTTAAGCTCAAAGAAAGTAGCAGGGGGAAGTACACTGGGTTTAGAATCTTGAGAACCTGGGTTTAAATCCTATCTCTGGCAATTACTTCCTGTATGACCTTGGACAAGTCACTTCCCCTCTGTGGGCTTCAGTTTACTTATCTGCAAAAATAAAGGTGTTGAACTAGATGGTTTCGTAAGGCTCCCTCCAGCTCTAATATCCATAGAGCTATATTCTACAGACCTTGTGCTGAGATCTCTGAGAAATTATAGGAGTGGGTCAGGAATACACAGATATCTGGACCACCTGAACCCAGATTTAGATTTCCTGACTCAACCAGTGATCTTTCATCACTGTGATGTCTGGGCCAGAAGAAAGTTGCAGGTCTCAGCTTCCTTCTCCCCTTAACCCATGAAGAAGCATCAAATGCCAGGAAAGAATGGGCAGTATCATTGTTCTCCTCTGCTCATCCTTGGGATTTTCACTAAGTGCAGGCAGGCAAAAGAGAGAAGGGTGGGGAAAGGGGGGATGGAGATGTTTAGATAAACCTAGGAAAATCTAGCAAATTCACTCACCTCCAGGAAGATGCCAACCACAGCCAGGCCATCCGGAGCTGCAGCTGCTTCTGCAAAGGTCTTGTATTTTTTTCCATTCCAGTGGACCAAATGGAGCTGTGGAAAGGGATGGTCACACAAAAGCTAACTCTGGTCACCTCCAGTGGCTCCTCTGTTCTGGGCCCATCTAACTAGTGATTTATGGAGGCTAATTTGTTGCCTGCCTTCTGATCCCATTCTGGTCCCTCCATCAGGAAGTGTTAAGCCAGTCTCTTTGGTTATCATTCTAGTGCTTGGTTGGTTGATGAGGGTTGTCCAGGGTTATCCTTGAATCCAACCAGTTCTATATAATGGAAATCCTCACTAGATTTAGCAATCAGCGCTGCATTTAAATCATGACTCCAACACTTACTGGTTGTATGACCTCAGTCAACTCATTTTATCTTTCTACCCTCCATGTCCTCATCTATAAAACGGGAATAGTATTCCTTGCACTACCTGTCTCATGGAGCTGTAGTGTGGAAAGTGTTTTATGAACCTTAAGGTACTATAGAAAATGTGAGTTACAATTATTCTGGTCGCCTTGATGTTAGATTGGAGGCAGGTGTTATCAGGGTTTATCTTTGTTGACCTTTTCTACCTGATCTATCTCAACTCTGGACCAATCTCGTCTCCTTCCATTTTATCACAACCTGCTCTAGGTTAGAAAAGAATATAATATGGTAAAAATAATTGCACTTAAGGCAGAGGTATCTTGGTAAATGATTAACAACCAGGTTTCAAAAAAAATTACACATCAAACACACTTTTAAGCTTAATTTGCATTATTTTCCCAAATCACTTTCTTAAGTCCAAACAATCAACAACAAATCAAGTCCTGATATATCACACTTGCTGATTTCTGAGGTGTAAATGCTCACACTGAAAACTTAACCAAGAGCTCTTCCAGTTTGAGGGAGCTAAAGCACACCCTTGAAGGTGCTGATCTCACAGATGGTTAAGTCACCTGAGCACTGTCCTCACAATAGTCTTGAGAGATAGGCGATTGTTGTTCAGTCATTTCAGTCATGTCTGATTCTTCATGACCTCATTTAGGTTTTTCTTGACAAAGTGGTTTGCCATTTCCTTCTCTAGCTCATTTTACAGATGAGGAAACTGAGGCAAACAAGATCAAGTGACTTACCCAGGGTCACATAGCTAATAAGTGTCTGAAACTGTA